GTCCTGAGCAGAGAGAGTCTGACTGGACGTTGTTACTGGGAGGTGGAGTGGATAGGAGAAGGATGCCGTGTAGCCGTCGCATACAAGAGCATCAGCAGAGCAGGGGGGTCTGCATTTGGACAAAACGACAAATCTTGGACATTAGATTGTTTCTACCAAGAATATCAATTTGTGTACAATAGTGTCAACACTCCCGTCTCAGGTCCTCGGTCCTCCAGAGTGGGAGTGTACCTGGATCACAGTGCAGGTATTCTGTGCTACTACAGCATCATCGATGAAACCATGACCCTCCTTCACAAAGTCCAGACCGTGTTCACTCAGCCGCTGTATGCTGGAATTGGGTTCAATTCTGGTTGGAGAAACATTGCTGAGATATGCAAACTCAAATAGACAGAAGTGAAAAACTGGTTGACGACATCTTTCCTTACCGGAGCCTTTTTCTATCATGGAGAAGTCATAAGTGACATATTTGATGTATTTTTACGATATAATCAATGCATAACACTAGGGCTGCACGATTTTGGGAAAAAATCTAATTGCGATTTTTCTGACAAATATTGCGATTCGATTTGCGATATTTGTTTTTAAGCGACCCAACGGAAGTTTATTGTAAAATGCGGCCATATCTCCGGCTAAGAAGGTCGCATCAACGTGCTCCCGTCTCTAGCACCCCCGCAGCCTCGAGCTACGAGTGAAAGAACTAAACTTACATGAAACATCCGTTGGGTTGCTTTAAAGTCAAGCTTCAGTTTAAGGTTCACCCTGTAATAGAAACATGTGATGGAGCTTTACTAACCTGACTCAGAAACCATCAGGAGAGCTCCATTGGAAGCCATTTGGAAAGGGCAGGCACTTTCAAAAACACTTGGCAGGTGATTGGATCAATCTGTCTATCACCTTCTATCATGGGCCACTTCTGATTGGTTAACAATGGCTGGTACATGTGGAGCACAGCACCTCTGATTGGTGTGGATGACTGACACACAAGAAGAACAAAAAAATGTAAAAATGTATTTGATAATCGCATCATTTCAAATCGAGATTTCGATTTAAAATGGATTAATCGTTCAGCCCTACATAACACTAACAGCAAAACTGTTCAATTAACACAAATAGTGACTGCAATATAACTGCAGGAAGTTTGTGTAAAACGAGCAATTGAAATACATTTGAATCAGAAAACCGTCTGTAAATATTGAATCAGAGTTTTTCCTCTGATTTTGGCACTTCATTACATTCTCTGTTTGTATTGTGTATTTGATGTTTAACCGTTATTGATAGGCTTCTTTTTTGACGGTGTTTTCTTTTTGTTATCTTCGCTGTTTGATGCTTTGATGCTGGACGAGGCTCTGTGAATACAGCAGCTTGTGTTCAGGTCTATATCTGAAAGAATAATCCAAATGTCTGGAGTATAATCTTCTGATTCTGGAAATCTTATTTTCTGATATTTTCTGAAATGTTTTATTATTTGTATCGCCTAAATATTTTTTGTTGCGTTCATTATTATTTGACTTTCATATGAAATGCTTTGCCTCATTTTGCTTCTATTGCATTATCGTTGTTGGAAATGACATCTTAATGGGTTATTCCCAACACTTGGGACTGCACAATATAAGAGCTTCACTTCCGATTAAAGGGTAAGTGAATAGAGTTTAAGGAGAAAGTCATTTAATTAAGCAACTGTACACGTAATGGAGTAATACACTGTAGTACTTCTACTTTGAAAGAGGGAGGCGTGTGGTGCAGTGCGTAGAGCGTTGGTGTTCGGATCATGGGGGTCACAGGTTCAAACCCCACTGCAGTCAGCATGTCGTTCACCCCAAATTGCTCCTGTGGGGATTGCCCACATTATTGAGTATGTAAGTCGCTTTGGAGAAAAGCGTCTAACAAGTGACATGTAATGTAATAAAAAGATATTTGTTTAATCTGAAACTTGAAATGCAGCTTTAGCTCAGGCTGAAATGCAGATGTTTTGTCTTAAATGCTTCATATTACATTAATGATTACGTTAAGTAGCAGTTGAAGTATGTTATAGACAGGGGTGCACATAACAGGTACGCATGCGTGGCAACAATCTGAAATGCGTACCGTCACTTGTGTCACAAAGCGCATTTGCGTACCGACGTACTTGTGAAGCTTTTCCAGAAGGCGGTGAGATCACCGGACGACAGAGTCGGTCTCCGTGTGCACAGACAGGGCTGCTGTTAACGTCGGTCTGTACAGCAGCCCTGCGCTGAAACAGCTGATCACAACGTTCACACGCTCCGCACCCCCCCTCCCCGTTGACAATCGCCAGAAGTTGGAGTACCAAACCTTGACTCCAGGTACTCATCTGAGTACCTCACTGAGAAAGTTGTGTGCACCCCTGGTTATAGAACTTGTGTCGTATAGCGTATGCACTGTAAAGCACCCTAACACAAAATGTGTGATATAGGTTGTATAAATAACCTTTATTTGTTAAGCAGTAAAACAGACTTTGAAGATAAATATCTCAATTGCAAATTTTCCCTATGTGCTACTTTATACTTTTACTCCACTACGACTATTGTTCCATCTTATCTTATAAAAGCGCGAGCTAAATAAATGTAATGTCATCTGCATAATGTTGATTTGCTGTTTTCTGACTTTTGAGTATTTTTACTCTGTAGTTTTAGTACTTTTTTCTCAAGATATTGATCCGAGTACTGTTGAGGTTTCCATATTGGGTTATATAATTAAAACGGAAATTAATAGAATCCACAATGTAAAATGCATGATATGTCACGAAGCTCTATACTTATATACTAAATGTACACGGTTTGGTAAACTGACATGCAGAACGTATAAAAGTTAGCGCTGAGCTTCAGTCTGCAATGTTCAAAACAACAGATAGAGCCAGAGATCTAGGTGTAGTCATGGACTCTGACCTGAGTTTCAACAGTCACATTAAAACAGTTACTAAATCAGCCTACTATCACCTAAAGAATATATCCAGGATTAAAAGACTAATGTCACAGCAGGATTTGGAAAAACTTGTCCATGCTTTTATCTTCAGCAGACTCGACTACTGCAATGGTGTCTTTACAGGTCTCACTAAAAAATCTATTAGAAAGCTGCAGCTGATTCAGAACGCCGCTGCTCGAGTCCTCACTAACACTAAGAAAGTGGATCACTCCTGTTCTGAAGTCCTTACACTGGCTTCCTGTGTGTCAAAGAATAGATTTCAAAATATTGTTGCTGGTTTATAAAGCTTTGAATGGTTTAGGTCCAAAATACATGTCTGACCTCCTGCTAAATTATGAACCATCCAGAACTCTCAGGTCTTCAGGGACTGGTCAGCTTTCTGTCCCCAGAGTCAGAACTAAACATGGAGAAGTTCAGTTATTATGCTCCGAATATCTGGAACAAACTCCCAGAAACCTGCAGGTCCGCTGCAACTCTGACTACTTTTAAATCCAGGCTGAAGACTTTTCTTTTTGCCGCTGCTTTTAATTGAACTATTCACATCTTAAACTGCACTGTAACTTTTATCCATGTATTTTTTCTTTTAATGTTTATTTTATTATCTTTGCTTTTTAATGACTGATTTTAAATGCCATTTTCTTAATGTCTTTCATTTTTGTAAAGCACTTTGAATTGCCTTGTGTTGAAAGGTGCTATATAAATAAACTTGCCTTGCCTTGCCTTGCCTTGCCTTGCCTTGCCTTGCCTTGCCTTGCCTTGCCTTGCCTTGCCTTACATGAAAGAGTGTAAGGTCTGATATAGTTTATCACTAAAGGTGTCACTATTCAGCAGAGGGAAGACACCCTTACTCTCACAGCAGGAGGCCCCTGACTCAATGGGATATTACTGTAAGCTTTAGGAAAACAGGTCTTAGGCCTTAGATTTAAACTTTAACACACGTTGACCGGCGAAAAACTCTGCCCGGATCCCTTGGCCCCCACCGCGGAGAATAAACAGAAGTGCAGCCATGACAACCATTCTTCTTCGCTGCTTTTGTGGAGGAAGTTGCTGCTTTTGTGGAGGAAGTTACAGCGCCACGTACAGGCTCGGCATATGTACTGCAGCTTTTCCAGTGGTTGGATGTAAACGGAGCCGTCTCGTGGAGCTTGACACAATCCGGTGTATATTGCGTGTGGGCGGAAGGTTTTTTGCGGTTGCGTTTGCGTTACTCCGATGCGTTTTGCCGTATGCGTTCCCGTGGAGCCGGGGCCTCAGGGTTCTTAACTGGGAATCTCTCCCTAGATTGTATTTACTCGCTGTCATCATTAGGGGTCTTCACTCACTCTGAGGATTATTTTAATGGGACTCATCCTAGGCATTTTACTCAAAAAGGGATCCACCCTAAGACTTAACCTAAGTTTGATACTTTTCAGGGAACCAATCCAAAAGTAAACTTAACTGGGAATCTTTCCCTAGATTTTATTTACCCGTCGTCATCATGAGGAAATTCCTCTGAAGACATGCAGGGAGTTTTAACAAAAAGGAAAAAAATGTGAATTAGTGATGGCATCTTAAAAAATGTAGGCAGAGCGGGTAATACTTTTTTGATTGTCACAATGTAACGAGAGAAGGAAAAAAAACCTTGTACAATTCTGGACCATTTTCTTCAAATAAAACCATCCCACCTATTTGGACTGGGGTAACCTAAATGAATTCTGCGCTGTCCTCTCCTGATTTAAGGTAAGATTGCACGACTGCCACACTCACACTTAGGTAGGGCCACACCTCACTACAGGTACTAGAATCCTACGGGATCGCTTAAACAGATTTAGCGTGTCATCTGAATTGAAACAGCAGTTAATTTAACCTGGTTCTTCAGGAGTTAGTAGAGGTGAGATCTTGCTGACCTTGGTGGATCCGAGCCTGGTGGTAAACTTACTCAATAGCTCCTGATTGGTCAATTAGTAGGTCTGAATTAATAGTGAGAGAACAAATCAATACAGACCCGCTGACCCCAACAGTACTTCTTCCACCTCTACACAAAGCTAAATACAACCTTGATCGTGAAGTGAACTCACAGAGTCTCCAGCAGGTGGCGCCCAAACGGGTGTCTGGCCCACGGCGTCTCCGTGTCCGGGTCCGAGTCCGGACTCAGGTCCTGGCTGGTGGCCGCAGACGCCAGGGCCCAAACCTGCAGAATCAAAAGGAAATCAAGGGCTTCTCAAGTTGCTCATAACAAAACTAACATGTATTGAGCGTGCTCTCAGTAATTCACGGAGACATCTCTGTACGGTAAGGTGAATTGTTTTCTAGATGAATGGTTTGTTGTAGAAAATAGTTAATATATAATTTACTCAATGGTATACACATAAGGTTAATCAGGGCCGGTTTTTGGCATAGGCGACATAGGAAATATCCGTCCTATTGTCTCAGAGTCTAAGGTGTTGTGTTTAAATGTCCAAATATATTGACTTTAATATAAAACTGAAAGAAGAGCACAGAGAGACACACTTAATAATAGTTCAACATTTTTTTAATCGGTGCAGCTCTATTTTATATATTCTTTTATGTTTATTTATTTAAGAAGGGACAATGCAGTTTAATCAACAAGCTTGAGTGGATCATGTGAATTAACCAGAAATCTCGGAAAGGCAAAATTGTATCCGCTGGTTCTGATTTCTAAATAATCTGAAGCCCCACAAAAAGTCTATGGATGTATCACTGTGCAGGAAATGCACTTATAATGCCAAATTACACCAAAACTCAAATACTGTAACTCCAACAATGTTTACACTATCAGAAATCTCAAACCAAAGAAGTTTTAATGATAAAAACTAACGTGAGGAAGTTGTCTCCATGTTTGAGTCGTCTTGTACCGGGCTGCTTGTTGATCATCACTTTGCGTTTTGAGTAAACATTAGAAATATAAAAATGTAAAATTGGTCACCTTGGCCACGTCTCTGCGCCCGACGGTGAGCGACGCCGCGGCGTTCTTCTGACACGTTTCCTGGATGTCGTTCATGTTCAGACTGAGGGGGGAACACCGGCAGATATTAAATACATAGAAATATTGCACACACATTAAGGTAGGTCTGAATGGATGTAAGCCAACATGCCGTAGTATTTGTTTTATCATAAATTCATGACTTCAATCACAGAATTTCTTAGTATTTTTTTATGAGATGTATGACTTTAATCTGAGAAAAATGTATTTCTTTCTTCTCAAAATGTCTGAGAATTTCATTGAAAATGAACGACTATACTCTACAATGTTTCTTCAAAGT